TTAGCATGCAGCATCTTTAGGAGGCGTGACATCGACGTTGGGAAGAAGATCAGACTTCACCGAGAAGGACATTGCGCGGGGATGTGAGCTCGCTGCAGATCGTTCTGAAGTTCGCCTATGCAAGATGCATTGATTGGACAGACTTCATATGCAATACGAAGGAGATTGCAGACCACTCCACCATCGAGAACCAGTATGTCCGGCATGTGTACTCGGAGGCGCTCAGGAAACTCAGAGAGGACATCGAGGAGCGATCCGTGAAAGAGGAGCAGCCGAAAAAGGGACCAGGGCTTTACGCCACTTTTGAGGGGGCAAACCCAATGGAGAGAGATGGAGATCAAGGAGGAATAGCCACAAAGGTGGTGCAAGGTTTCGACCACTTGGTGAGGATACTAGAAGACTGGAAATCCTCGAAGACGTGGGTAATAGTGTGGCCTCAGGATTCGAACTTGAAGAAAACTGCTTTGGACGACTTGATCAGAGTGATCAAAGAATTCATGGAGAGCGGAGGAGGCGTGATCAGTGCGTGGCCACCGATCATGTCAAGAAACCACAACAAGTGGTTCAGCATGATGGACATGTGGAAACATTTAGATGAAGCCTTAAGAAAACTCGACGACAAGCAAGCCTTCTGCACAGCAATCAGCAAGATTCTCGATGGAAAATTGTTCATAGAGGCAGGGGCGCCAGAAGGAAGCGCTCAATTTTACAGCAACTATGTTGGAACATCTCTACCGAAGCAGGTGTACGAGGCAGTAAGGTATCGCGTAGAAAGTGCGAGGCTGCCAAAAATAGAGAAGCCGACCTCGAAGGCGATGTCTTCCCGATGGGAGGGCATGTCGGATGGACCCATATGGGGTCGCAAGAGGCGTGCCTTGTAGGTCGAGAAGGATCATGAGAGGGGCGCGAAGATCAGCCGCGACCTACTCAAGAGAGCGACCTGAGGAAAGTTGGCGCGGGTCTTTTGGGTAGAAATAGTTGAGGTATTTGTTTAGAGTATTCGGATCCTGATTGCTATAGAGCCCCACGCCCCCTGGCCGCCGCCGACGCTCGTCCTCCCCAGGACACGCCTCGTCCTCGACGTCACCGATTTTATTTCCACCTATTTCCTTTATTCTCATTGTTATTGTTTTTTTCGTTGTTACGCCATAAAGCTTCGTATAGTATCGCGTTCTGTTCAGTGCAAAGCCTAGAATTATCCTTTGGACGGCCAATATAAACCACACTTGATCTCTATTGTTAGTACGTTGACGAAAATATGCAACCAATTCAGTTACCTACTGGTCCTAGACCACCGGGAACAGTGTTCGGCCTCGCCGCTTATGGACGCGGTCAGATGAGAGCAGAGATTCTTACACAAACCTCTATTCGACCTGCTGCGACACGGTGGTTTCAGATGCGGAAATGCTCAGAAATGTATTCGAAATGGACGGCCTCAATACTTCGACAAAAGAAGAGAACGAGGACGACGCCGCACACACATAACTTTCACAGTACACAAAACTGACCAGGTATGAAAGCCAATCGGTTAGCGCGCCGTTTCACCAAAAAAGGAATGCTGAGGGTCTTGCTAGTAATTGCAACATGGCCCTACATCGGCGCACTGCGCAGATGGAATTTTTGCAAAAGTTTTCGGAACGAAGGAAATGGTGTATTGAGTTCCCGAAAGACTATCTCGCGGGTGAGGTCGAAGTGTCCGAGTCTGAGCATGAGTCCATAGTTACATTCTATATCCAAATTCTGGAGGGTGGAGAGAATATAAACCCAATCCGCTCAGATTTGTATTTGACGCGTCCTCTGAACAGAGACAGTTGTCACTTAATGATGCGACATCTTGACAGCCGAATCGTTTGTGAAGAGCCATGACACAAAAATCGCAAGCCGGACGAAACCATTCATTCTTATTGTCGACATTCAATCGGTTTTTACGCAAATTCGAATTCACGAGTCACACCGTGATCCTAGCAGATTTCTTTGGATAAGTGATTCCGAGAAGCCACCCGATTGAAACTGTAGTTGAGCACAGTTGGGAAAGACACCTTTTGGCACGCCATCAGCCCCTAGCATGCTGAATAATATGATTATTACAACCTATTTGCAGAAATGTAACAAACCTCCAGCAAGAGAAACTCTCTAATTGTCTCTGCCTAATAAGATAATGTTCTCATGATAGCAAACTCGAAAGATAAAGCGTTCGCCGGATATGAAGAATCCAAGGCGCTATTCTCAGCTCTGGGGATGAATCTGAAGAAATATGCGCGAGGATGAAGCACCATAGGAACAAAAGAAAATTCTCGGCATTGAATGCAATCTCATATCGGACATATACCGGTTGAAAAAGAGTTTTGTTTTTAGCCTAAGGTGAAAAGAGATTTCATAAGGCAGCATCACTCAGTATATGATCCTTTTAGTCTGGGCGCGCCGCTTATGGTGAGCTAACCCAAAGCATATGCTTAGGAAATGTACGCAAATTTTACTGGGACTAAGAAGTTGTTTCAGAGTTCGCTCTTGAATGACAGAAAACAGCAAGAGCGATCGACAATCCTATATGGAGATTCCACGGCAAACTTTTAACGGCGAGGGAACACGTTCTGAACCTTCTCTAAAGGATTTCGCAGACACAAGCAATTCTGAAATGGTCGTATTCGTATACTTGGAAAGTTCCACCTTTACCGCTGTGTCTGACTTGATCAACGGCAAAGCAAAACTTGTGCAGCAAAGCGATCGCCCACTCCTAAGCTAAAGCTTTTTCAGTTCTACTTGTCTTTCGATTGGCAGAACCGATAGCTTTTGCCCCTGACTATGAGATTTTTACAAAAACATTGCGAGTTATAACCTCAATACATTGAATTGGACTACTGAAAAGTAAACATCGAGGAATTCTGAGGGAAATGCCAGGACAAACAAATATTCCGGGACGGAGACGGTATTATACGGTGGAATCACGCTTGCAAAATGCGAGCCTACCGTTTGACACTGCAACCCCACAACCTTTCGTTGATTCGGACACGACCATCATGTGTCTCATCCTACAAGACGTACTTGGTGACAACGCTCACTGTGGCTCCATTTATTACACTAGCGCGGCAACCGGATGTCCAAACCATCAATATCAGTAGGAGATGTACTGAAGGGATGTGCCACACGTTGTGAACTTATTCCATCAGTCCGTTCTTGCTCAACCACAACAGTAAAGTGTACATATGCATTTTTCATGCCTAACAACTTGGGGGCTCCACCTCGGGGTCATTGAAGGGCTACCAACAAGCTCATTCCTTAGCAATTTCGTGCGTTTCGTTCAGTCTCTGGTATAGTGCGCATAGGTTGTGTAACAAATTTCGTTCTTCGACAAAAAAATGACCGGCGACCTTTTTCTGAGCCTTGGAAGGGTAACCTAGTGATGTCGTACTGCGTAAACAATAGAATCATGTGGTTGTTCAAACCACCGGCGGCCCCGTAGTTGGAAGGCGACTAGTGTGTTCGCTAAGGTTGGCACTCGAAAAGAGCGTTGGAAGGAAAAAGCTACGTCTAACAGATACGATAACGGTTACAACACGCACAGACTAAATTTTGAATACAATC